CTGCTGGCGGCGCCGCGCCGGGCCGGGGGCTGCCCGCGGGCGGGCCGGGGGGCACCGGGACAGCGCGGAGCGGCGGGATGCCCTCGGCGCCGGAGAAAGTCGGGAAGAGCCTCCCGCGCCCCGCGGGTGAGCGCGGGCAGAGCACCGGGGGTGCTGCGGGTGGGAGGAGGCGGCTCCCGCGGACTCCGCGCGCACCTCGGGGGCTACGGCCGGGTGGGACCCCGCGTACGGACCTGCGGTCCCCCGAGACGAGCCCGGGTGCTCGGCTCCCATGGCGGATGCTCCGGGAGACTGCCCGGCCCCGCTGCTCTCTCCGGAGCACTTGCTTAGCGATTTTCTGGGGAAAAGACTTCATCAGGAACGCAATTTCCAGTTATGCCCTCAATCCATACTGGAAAGGTGGAAAGTGCCTCAATGGAAATACAAAAAACAATTTAAAATTTGATACTAAATGCCACTTCCATGGCAGAATTTCTGTCTCGCAAAGAGCACTTACACGGTGTGGCAGGCAGTATGGCTGTAAGGCTCTATTACGGTTTGAGTAAAATTTCCTGAAGTGCTTGAATCCCATTCCTGCAGGCTATTTAGGCACTTAGGAGCCTAAGTTTAATGGGACTGAAGCTAAGCCGTTTCACCTAAATTATTTATGCATTTGTTTAAATCCTGACCTTCAAAATTAAGTTCATTAGGAAAGTAGTACATAGATCATATTACCATTATTGGGTTTTTAAAATAAAAATGATATTTTTTCAACTATTTTCACTCTGAATTTTAAATTTAAAAGAACTCTTCACTTTGCTGTATTCCAGAACATATAGGGCATTTTATAAATAATAGATAAGTGAAAAAAATTCCATGAAAAAGATGGAAAACTGATCTAAGGTCAACATTGTGAAAGAGCCTCACAGTGACACTTGCTGCTACAATGTCAGTCAAAGATCTGCTGGATTTTTATTAAAATGTTTTTCACCTGCAAGTTGAGGTCTCTACCTTGACCCAGACCCTGGTAAACTTTAATTGCTGAAATTTGGCATAAAGGTTGTCCCTTGATATAAGTGAGAAGCCACACCTCAGAAACAGAAGCAAAAATTCAGAAGTTACATCATGTAGCTTGTATTTATTTTTTAATAATAAATTAAGTTTCACTCAGCTGGTATTTGAAACCAGTTCTTTAACTACCAGTCTTTTAGGTCTAAAAAGCAAAGCTAATAAGGCCAATGTACCATCTATTCCGTGCCAGATGTTTAAGATTCCACATTCAGAATTGTGACCCTAAACAAGGACTGGAAGACAAGACCTTTTCCTCCTCAACTGAGTTACCTGCACAATGAAGTGTTTCTGGAATGAGTCTCTTTAAGCCTCTCTGTCCCTCTTTAAGCCCCAGATGTGTTCTGAGCAGAGCAGGGCTGGGGCTCAGTAATTCCTCAAGCACGGATGTCTGCCTTGCCTCAGGTACACTGGGCTCCTGGAGAGGCCATGAAAGCTTGAGGGATGTAGAAGTGACAGAAGTCACTTGTGGCCCAAGAATTTCTTGGTGGAATGGCTGACAGCAGGACAGGGAAAGAGCTGCCAGTAACTCTGCCAGAGGCCGCTGGGTCAGAGGGAAAAGAAACTGGTTTATTCCAAGATTTGTTGAAAACAGCAGTAAATGAAACCTGGAGGCAAAGGGCATGATCCAGGGGCTGTGTATGATGCCAGCCCTTCCTGGGATAGGGAGAGAGGCCAGCAGCTCATAGAGGCCTTAGCTGGTCATGCTACTGGCAATGATGCATGAAGCAGAGTAGGACAACTCCCTTTGCCTCAGTTTTATTGGTTCTGGAGTGCTGTCAGTACTAAAAATGTGTTTTTTCAGTAGACAAAGCAAATACAACCTTCAAGGCACACAGGAAGCCAGTGTGGGCAAGAGTAAGATGCCACTTCTTCAGGGTGACATCGCTGATGAGGAGAGAAGAGGAATGCAGCCTGCACAGCTCTGGAGGCACAGCTCTGCAAACACATTATGTAAGCAGCTGACTTCAGTCCACAGCAGCGAGGATGCACAGAAACAATTCAGAATAGATTTGTTTCCTGTTAAATCTACTAACAGAAAATGGCCTGGCCTACTTCACCCAATCTAGGGCTCAGGGACAGCCCTATGAATTCAGCCCATGGTTTCAAATCAGCCTGATCTACAAGCAGTGGTCTCATGCACCACTCTAAACCACAGAGGGAATCTCACAGAAGGTACTAAAACACTGCAAAACTGGGATGAAGAAGAACTGTGCCAGGTGTGATTGGCAAAGCTGTGCCTTCCTTAGGAGTGGAGGCTTCCTTAGAACTGTTCTTGCTTCCCTTTACACGTAAAGATTATTTAAATCATGCTCTCATTGCCTTTTGCTTCTCATTTTAAAAAATCCATTGGCATGAAATGATTGTTAAGGAAACAAAGGGAAAAGCAACAGCATAACCAAATGAGTCCTCTGCTCCACTGTCATGCAAATTTCTCATATGGCTTTGGGCAGGACATTTCATAGCTCTGCCTTTCCTTATCTGTAGAGCAGGAATGATAATCCTTGCCTCTTTCATGGAAGTGTTGGAGACTTTGATTAGTTTGATTACCCGTATTAATGGAACAATGCAGAGGGAAGAGTCTCCTGTTTTACTAAAATTGTAGAGGAAACCTGTGTTTGAAAGAAGAGACAACTGAATTAAAAAATTTCAATTTTAGTCTTAGGTCCTAGCAAGCTGCTAGTTTCCTCTTCCTTTATACACCTGTATAAATTTTATAAGGAATTTCCTTTCTACCTTTTCTTTAAAAACTGAATCCCTAAAGAAATTCTAAAGGAGATGCACAGCTTGCAGCCATTTTACATAGTCCAGATATTTCAGATGACAGATCAATGAGCTATCAAGGGTCATGTATGACCTCCCTGGAATCCATGTACCACAGGTAGAAAATCACCATTCTACTAGTTTGAAACTACATTCTTCAGGGAGATCCTGCTGGATCTTTGAAATGTGGTGCTCTGTCCCTCTTCCCTCATGAGGAAGGTACCTCATCAATTTCCCTGCCCCTTTCCTGACACACAGAATAAGGACTGTGCTGAGGATGACAATGTTAGCAGGTGATCAGCTGCTCTGAAGGAAAACAGTTATGAATCAAAAGCTTTGGAAGGTAAAACATACTTTGAGAGAGCAAAGTTCTACCTTGAAATCCCAACAGGAGACAGGGAAGGATACATTTGGCCAAGAACATTTATCTACAGTGATAAATAATGTATAAATAATATATTTTGAAAGTAAGCTCTAGGATGAATGTTTTATAGTGGAGTAAATCCTAAAATGACTAATGCATTAAAACAATGAAGAAAAAAAAACCAACCCCCCAAAAAAGGATACCCCACAAATAAAAACCAGTTATTTCTTAGTCTTTTAAGTACAGCTATACATAGATGTATCCATCGCCTTAAGAAAAATGTCCTTAAAGAATTGCTGTATTTTTCTCATTATATGGCATTCTTCCTCCTAAAATACTCTGCCTCCTTGATTCTCAGCCCACTCTCTTCTTACTTCTGCATTTTTCCTAAGGTATAGACTTTTGTCTTTAGACCAGAGCTTGTGCATTCATCTGCTGATAAACTGTTTATCTTAGCTTTTATGAGGGCGCCTTGCTGCAAGCCAGCCAGAGACAGGATCCTGGGTGTTTGTCTTTTTTTTAAAGAGGGTCCGGGAAGTGACGGGTATTTATACCTCCCTTGGCTCTATATATCATGGGAGGTGGAACTCCACTGTCTCTGTTTCTTGCTTTTTCTCTCAGCAGTGTCTTCTGCCGTAAATCTGAATCTCTCAGAACAGTTTTCTTGGCTACAACCCTAGTTGGAGGAATTAGTTTTAGTTATTTATTTATTTAGGCAAAAAGTTTGCAACAGAGGAAACCCGAAGTTCTTCTAAATCCTCCCCCTCCTCTACCCCACCTAAACATCCTACTTTTTGTGCCAAATCCTGACATCTCAGCAGTCAAGAGAAAAGACCAGCATCTCACAGTGTGCAGAGCAATTCATTACAGGCAGAGAAGCCAGTGGGAGAATTGGAAAAGATGAAACAGAAACCAAGGCATTTTTTTATGTTAAAAAATGACACTTATATTTACAAGCAATGGCTCCTGAAGGGGATCTGAATCTCCACACAGGCAACATTGTTTATCCAAACAAGCTCCCTGTGGCAGCATATATTACATATATACACACATGGCAAGTAGCGATGTATTTATTCATTTTAGCCAGCCTGGTCATTAAGAGAATCATCTATTGAGATAAA